CCTCTACCCCCTTGATTACACATCCCCACCCCTTCACGGCTATTACATCACTTGTTTCCATCCATAGCATTCACCCGAGTCTAACCATGGACACACTTCAACTCAATACAGACTGCTAATAATACACGTTAACACCACGGGGTATCCTAGACTTACACCACTGAACGAAATCAAGAAACTGTCTATATATATTTCGATTATTCTCGCTACCGTCAACCAAATATATTGTATATCGTACCAGTATTTATGTGTCTGTATTTTATCACGTGTAGGGGCGGTCGGGTAGCCTAGTGGTTAAAGCGTTCGCTCGTCACGCCGAAGTCATGGGCACAGTGTGTGAAGCCCATTTCTGGTGTTCCCCGCCGTGATATATTTTTGCGGCGTAAAACCATACTCACTCACTCATCACGTGTGGTTATGTCCAGAAGGGTAACTATACTGTACAGTATCCTGATGTACTACCGTAGGTGGTTTGGAGAATATAATGACTTTCCTTGCAACAGATTGTAAATAAAAACTAAAACAAAATTTCCATAATCATAAGAAATTACCGCTAAAAGCAAATTCATTCTTCGATTCCGACTTTATCATAAGAATACGTTTATGAATCACTGTGAAATAGTGATGATACGGCGTTCGCGAAAAGATGAGCGTATCCTACCCCACCGGTGGCACCCAACGAAACACATGCAAAGGCAAGTCACCTGATACAACCCGGGAACAAATCAAAATAAGGAATTGCATGAGATATCATTTTTGTCACTGATGCGTCAAATTTGTCAAAGGAATTAATTTATATAAAAAGTAAAAGAAAAAAATACAGGTAAAATTAAAACATACTCGAATAATCATTTTGTTATTCTGAGCTTATCTAGATTTGATCATAAGCAAGGTACAACATTTTCTACATACTTTATTCACACGAAAAACATTGAGCATGAGTTATCACAACTTAAATTAAGATCACCCTCTCCCATAGATTAGCATGTGTAGTTACAATGACAACTACCAAGTAAATAACAGAAAAGAAAAAAAAGAAATGGAGAAACGCATTAAGGTTTTACATCACTCACGCATTTTTTGTTTTCTTTGTATTATTTATTAAATATAAATTTACATATTTATATTGTTCAATATAGTACCAAGTTAATAAAGTGGATCATGTATAAAAAGATGGATAGTTTTATTTTTTAATTGTATTTTTTTTTATTAATATTTTTTTAGGGGAAGGGGGTGATGGTTAATCAGGACTTACGGCACTATCAAATTTCGTAGTTTTGTATTGAAAGGATTGTGTAATGTTTGTTTTTCTGAGACCGTATTATGATAAATCTTTAACTGGAATGATAGTGTTTTCCCTTTAGTACAGCCTTGTAGCAAGGCTAGAGTCACCTCTCACCCTCCATCCTCCCAACACATGCAACAACGAACACCTGTTTTCACAGTTTCCACAGATCGGTACATTATTCTCCCGGAGGATCACCTCTGAACAAAAGGAACACTCGCGGGCCGTGTTATCCACTGGTCTGATTAGCACCGTCCTGAGCTAGGTAATTATCGCCCTTTTCCGGGGGGCTCACTGATAACTACCCGACGCTGATACGGTACATGTTATACGGTATTTACCTCGCTGCTGCCTGGAATGTTTGATAGCAATGATTTATTACCATAGTTAAGGTAACTCTATAAAATTCCCAGATCAATACCACTGCCATTAACCTTATAAGAGTCGAACTGGGTCAAAGGTAAGCCTTACTGTTTAAAATTTTACGGCTTAATTTTCGAAAATGATATCATAACTTGTAAATAAATCTAGCTATCTTGCCAATGACCGTTTTGTAGAAACCGTTACAACTCACCTGGCCGGTATATACGGACCACATAACGTCATAATTCTTGGACAGTGTAAAGAGCGATATGTAGCCACTCACTCACCCAGACACCCAGACACTCACTCACTCACTCACTCACTCACTCACTCACTCACTCACTCACTCACTCACTCACTCACTCACTCACTCACTCACTCTCAGCAGTGAGATTGGTTTTGCCCGCTTTGCACAGTATTCCAGTTACCACACGGCGTGTCAGCTTAACGTGGGAGGAAAGCCCGAAGTCATGCAGACGTTTACCACTTTGGTAAACCATCAAGCACGGGTATGGTGCTGACAAACCCAGAAACATAATCACGGCGATCTGTTATTCGAACCCACGACCATAGGTTTCTGGTGTGTAAAGGGACGCAACTCTGCAGCGATATGCCGTCGGTCTGTAAATAATCAAGTCTAGACCAGACAATCCAGTGAATGATATCATGAGCATCGATCCACGCAAGTGGGATATGATAGCATGCATCAACCAAGTCAGTGAGCCTGACCACCCGTTAGTCGCCTCTTACCCCAAGCATAATCGCATTTTATTGCAAGCATGAGATGATGTATTCGTATGTACCAAAGACAGGCTTATTCGTGACTCTAGCAACGTGTTTTGCTGCAACGTCTTGATGAAGAAGTATGTTGCAATGTGTGTGACTGAGGAGAGGAAGTAGGTGAGTGAGTGAGAATGAGATGAGTGGGTGAGTGTGCGTGGGTGAAACGAGGAAGAGGATGAATAATGATGGGCGTTCGTAGATGGAGAGAAGAGGGTTGAATAAAGGTAGATGCTCGTGGATGGAGAGGAGAGGGCGAATAAAGGGGGGTGCTTGTGGATGGAGAGAAGAGGGCTGAATAAAGGTAGATGCTCGTGGGTGAAGAGATAAGAGGGTTGAATAAAGGTAGATGCTCGTGGATGGAGAGAGAAGAGGGTTGAATAAAGGTAGATGCTCGTGGATGGAGAGAAGAGGGTTGAATAAAGGTAGGTGCTCGTGGATGGAGAGATAAGAGGGTTGAATAAAGGTAGATGCTCGTGGATGGAGAGAGAAGAGGGTTGAATAAAGGTAGATGCTCGTGGATGGAGAGAAGAGGGTTGAATAAAGGTAGGTGCTCGTGGATGGAGAGAAGAGGGCTGAATAAAGGTAGATGCTCGTGGGTGAAGAGATAAGAGGGTTGAATAAAGGTAGATGCTCGTGTATGGAGAGGAGAGGGTTGAATAAAGGTAGGTGCTCGTGGGTGAAGAGATAAGAGGGTTGAATAAAGGTAGATGCTCGTGAATGGAGAGGAGAGGAATGAATAAAGGTAGATGCTCGTGAATGGAGAGGAGAGGGTTGAATAAAGGTAGATGCTCGTGGATGGAGAGAAGAGGGCTGAATAAAGGTAGATGCTCGTGGATGGAGAGGAGAGGAATGAATAAAGGTAGATGCTCGTGAATGGAGAGGAGAGGGTTGAATAAAGGTAGATGCTCGTGGATGGAGAGAAGAGGGCTGAATAAAGGTAGATGCTCGTGGATGGAGAGGAGAGGAATGAATAAAGGTAGATGCTCGTGAATGGAGAGAAGAGGGTTGAATATAGGTAGATGCTCGTGGATGGAGAGGAGAGGAATGAATAAAGGTAGATGCTCGTGAATGGAGAGGAGAGGGTTGAATAAAGGTAGATGCTCGTGGATGGAGAGAAGAGGGCTGAATAAAGGTAGATGCTCGTGGATGGAGAGGAGAGGAATGAATAAAGGTAGGTGCTCGTGGATGGAGAGAAGAGGGCTGAATAAAGGTAGATGCTCGTGGATGGAGAGGAGAGGAATGAATAAAGGTAGATGCTCGTGAATGGAGAGAAGAGGGTTGAATATAGGTAGATGCTCGTGGATGGAGAGGAGAGGAATGAATAAAGGTAGATGCTCGTGGATGGAGAGGAGAGGAATGAATAAAGGTAGATGCTCGTGAATGGAGAGAAGAGGGTTTAATATAGGTAGATGCTCGTGGATGGAGAGGAGAGGGTTGAATAAAGGTAGATGCTCGTGTATGGAGAGGAGAGGGTTGAATAAAGGTAGGTGCTCGTGGGTGAAGAGATAAGAGGGTTGAATAAAGGTAGATGCTCGTGGATGGAGAGGAGAGGACGAATAAAGGTATTTGCTTGTGGATGGAGAGAGGAGAGGGATGAATAAAGGTAGATGCTTGTGGATGGAGAGAGAATAGGGTTGAATAAAGGTAGATGTTAAAGGTAGATGTCAATCACTGGATTGTCTGGTTTCAGACTCGATTATTAACAGACCGACGTCATACAGCTGGAATACTGCTGAGTGCAACGTTGATAACAACAAAATAAACAAACAAACCTGTTAACTTCATTAGAGTATATATTAATGGGACAGGCGCACATAACATCACCGCGATGTTAAAATAGCAGTTAAAGGATTAATCGGTAAATAATAACTCATTCAACGAATCTGACTGAGGATTAATAATTATTGACTTTGATATTGGATGCTTTTAGACACAACCTTAAAACGGTTTTCTAGAATATGTGAGTGGTGATACTCGAAAATACTGAGCAATACTCGAATAAATAAATCGTGTTCTTTGTACAAAACTACAGTTTCATTCATTCATACGCGTTTTGTCAATGAGATTAGAATGTAGAAAGTGGAACAGAGTGTTATCGGCAGAAAGTGCGTTTGAACAGTTTGACACCTGCCCTTTTTAAAACGAAAACTGAAAATCAAACAAGCCAACGTACAAAAAGGAGAATATTTGATTACTTTTCCGTGCACGAAAAACGTTCACATCACACAAAACCCGACGCCATAGGAAGTCTGTCTCTCTGCACACATCGTTTGAATCATTTCACCAACATTACTCACGGGACAATATAAGCGTTTAGTTTACCAGTTTCGCTAGGAGTCTTTGAGCTATGCATGTTTGACTACCGCTGCCGTTGAAAACATCGGTTCAGATCAACTCGTTTGTTTCTTTCAACGCAATCTGCTCTGACTGACCCTGAGAGACGAGCGCGAGTCTTGTGAATGTACTCAATCGCCTGTCACTCAAACCGAGGTGGCTTGTGTTCTCGGTTCTGATTGGTCGCTCGGCAGATAAGCCCCGCCTCTGCCTCGAGGGCTGAGATACACTTGCTATGTTGTGAAGTGAATTACGCTTCGTCTCAATCACCTGCTTGATTTGGCTGACGAGTCAGTCATTGAAGAAATGTGTTGCGGTTTTGGACAACTTTGAGTGTGTGGCTGATTATATTAAGTGCTTCACGTGTGGATTGCGACAACCAGTGTGACTTCTCTTTGACGTGTATATGCACAAACATATATATCGTCTGCTTTTGGATTCAATACCAAAGTGAACTGTATCGTCTGCTACCCACAAATGAAGGAAGGGACGATTACAGGAGGCAGAATTTGATTAGGATTTGACAGAAAAAAGCCCTCGGGTGTTCTACATAATCAACATCAACAAAACTCGAGCAGACGACATTCAGACAATCACACGGTCACACCCGATCAAGTTCGCTGGCTCCACATCTGATGGAATGTGAATTGATGAAGATAAAGACCTAATATTACATGTCTCCTACGTGGACCGACTTTGATGGATAAACACATGGTACCGAAGTGACTGACAGAGTATTGTACCCCATCGAAACTGTGTCAAGATTATTATCTACCTCCAAATATCAATGCCCACTTTAAACACAGGACGGTCAATCTAGATGTCCAAGAGAACTGACGAGATGGGGTATCGCAAGCACAGGTTAATTTACCTAGCTCTTCTCTTTACAGGTAAGTCAGCGGAAACGTAACTTGATCGTCTTTTTTAGGTATGTCATTAAATGTTTCGGGGAATGTGCCGATATACCGGCTGGTTTTTTTTATTACGGGTGTTTTTGTATATGGAAACATTTGACAAAGCCGTTCCATTCCTAACCGATGCCATTTGTGGTTATTTATATGAATTGTTATATTTCGGATAATTCCAGCACTCGTTCTTGTTGGATTATTGATACTATTTTCACATAAACATACTGTGTTTGTGAAATATAACCAAACGAGCCTGTTGGATGTTAAACACGTCCATACCACGTGGGATTTGCTACACTGGTCTGTTATGCAGTCTAACCCGTAACAAGCATGGATTTAGCGATACCAGCTGAAGCAGGGCGTTTAACAACGATGGTGCTTATATCTGAGTTTGCTAAACTAAAGGCTTACTGTCACGTTTTCGAAATAAATCCAAATATCCAGATGTGATCCAGTCTTGAGACGGAGACTGTACGGTGATAATGACCGGCTTACGAACGGACGACTTATCGCCAATGTGCAATTTCAGGTGCATCCGATATCAGTGCATAGTGACAAAGCACGATTACATTTGAAATTTACACTTGTCGTTCGTGAAATGAAATATCTGCTGCAGTAGTTTTACTCAATAGGTTAGACCAGACATACAGGTGTATTTTTAAATAACTAAACTGGCTCATTTAATCATTTAAACCCATGAAAACCATTTTCATATGTAACTATGTGCGTATTTCCACCTGTCGTCACTCAGCAGATATAAGTGAAGATAGATTCATGTTTTTTTCATCTTGTTATAACACCTGGAATACATAGTTTTCATTTATGTTTTTTTGTATCAAAATGATGCGATTCATTCAGTTGATTTGCAATGTAATAAACGATCATTCAGGTCATATTCGTATGTAATAGCAGATCTGTAATAATGCAATCAGTTTTGAATAACAAGCAAAATCATAATAAAAAAAAGTAAAGTTAGGGTTTGTTGATAGTAAACATATGTTCAAAGAATAGCTTTGTTGTTGAAAACGGCAGTTATTAATCTTAAAACTTTTTGCTTAATAACCTTTGGCAATATAAACACGCAGCTTCAAAGGTTTTTAACCCGGAAAAACAACACTTTTCAGCCACAGTCAGTGTGATAGGCCTTTTGGTCCTAACGTCACCCCTTCCGTCGTATATACACACTGGCAAAGCCATAAAACATATTTATCATTTGTCATAGCTCGCCTTGTACAACACCATCCCTGAAAACATCACAGGGTGGTTGTACCAGCGTGACGTATTGTGTGTCTTTAAGGCGCTGGCGTGACAGGACTGGGATATAGTGACAGTATGTACGGTGTGTGAATACGATATAAATAACTATACGCGACGGACATTTTGTCCAAATTTCGCAAGTAATCATGTAATTTTATAAACCTATTTATATGTCTACATATATGCACGATTGAATAAAGCGACAGTACCCTTTCCATATCAAATAGAAATATCTGCATAAAGCAGAGTCGATTGTACAATTCCGACTATATCATAGTCATGTGTTTATGAATCACTATCAAATAGTAATGATACCAGGTGATCGCGAAAACCCGGTGGCACCCGTCACAAACACATGCAAAGGCAAGTCAGTTGTTCACCTAAAAACATGGGAACATATGGTACAAGTCAAAATAGGGAATTGCATCGGACATCGTTTTTGTCACTGATGCGTCCAGTTTGGAAATGTCCTCCACATGTCCCCAATAAAACATTTCTTAAATTTTACTGAGGCCTTGAATGTTGTAACCTTGATCAAACAAGGCCTATTCAAGTCATACACAAACCCTGAAGTAATTACGTTTTTTACGTCAATTCGTACGCTCGAGCGCACGTATGTACCTCCGCACGTACGCAAGCAATGGCGCGTGTATTTTTGTATTTTTATGATATCTCGATCGAACCCGCCATGACTCTGCATTCTTATAAACCACATTGTTTCGCGGAGGTAGCTATGCAATAGCAGATGATTGTCAGTATATAGATAGGTAGGTTAAATATGACGTATTAGATCCATATGTGCACGAAACAGCCATGGTCGTTACGATGCGTGATGTAGCCCTGTGTGGGAGGTAAAATCCATGTCGACATGCACTCCGTACAAAGATTATGGCTTGTTGCCCGATATTGTGTCGGACAGGGAGTAATGTTTTGTGTCCTCACGTTTACGTTTAAAATTTTTGTCCGTGTGAACAGTGCCATATATTCACGTGTAATTTTCATATTATGCTAACGAGATGGAGATTTCAATTTGTTGAATAAGGACAATTGGGGATAAAGAAAACAGTCCAATGTGTCAAAATATGTCTCGATAGGTTTCATGCTAACCTAACCAGCTTTATGTTAAGCAAGGGTTATTGTGATACATATCGTTTTTAACTTGTCAAATACCAAAAATCAACGAATCACCATTCACACAGAAACTGATCTAGTTCTTTAAAAGGCATTTAGAAGTGATTCACATAAGGAAGAGATTATATGGATGTCAACTTCTTTATTATGAGGAACACAACGTTTCGAAGAATATGCTTACTCCTTCATCAGGTGAATGATTCAGCATTCACCTGATGAAGGAGTAAGCATATACTTCGAAACGTTGTGTTCCTCATAATAAAGAAGTTGACATCCATATTTTCTCTTCCTTAAACTGATCCAGTTATGCTTTAGTGTACAGTAAGTATAGTGTGTGAGTGAGCTTTTAGAGGACCCCATACATGGGCTTAACACAATGTACGAATGTGGGGAATCGAACTCGCGCCTTCGGCGTTACGAGCGAACGCTTTAACCACTAGGCTACCCCACCGCCCCTAGTAAGTATAGATCGAATTGATCGAGAAAAAACATCATATACCTCACATGCTTCTGGTGTGTCGAAACTGTAGCATCTAAGGCCACTCAAAATGAATTATATGTTCCATTGTTTATTTCCACATATAATCATCTTAAACTCTCTGAAAATGTGAATTAATATTCTTTTACATCGCAATATTCTCACAATATTATGAAGGACTGTAAATAATCGATGGGCCTTACGAATATGCTCTAGGAATATTCGGGGTACTTGCATAAACGAAATAACGAAAACAGATAATACGTTTGTTGTTGCCTAAGTGATTTCAGCCAGTCATGTAATTCATTTACATATGTAGCACAAAGTCATTTGGTGCACTCCGAAAATGCGGTGATAAGTGCCTTTTTAACTGTGCCCAAATATCGTATTTCGCATTGTAATGTCACCCTTGCCGTTTACATATCATGTTACTTGTATATATAACACATTTCATCCACTGAGACAATAACAAGCAGCGCTAAGCAATGGCGGCTGGAAAAATAGACATTATCATTACCAAAACAACCTCCCGCTGATGATTCCGGGGTAAACTAGGATCCCGGTTCCTAATGCTTGTCGTAAGATTCGATAAAATGAGGATCGGGTGGTCATAATGTTTTACCTGCTGATGTCATGTCATTGTACTCTGACGATGTAGATTTTGTTTATGCTATCAACCACTTGTTTGTCAAGTCCAGATTCGAATATTGGGTAGTCACTCTGTATAACCTAGTTAGTTTGGTGTCATTGTAATCTCTGCGGCATGGATCCTTCTTCATGTTATCAACCACTAGTCCAGATTCGATTGTTAACAGCCTTGCACTCTCACTCCGACAACCCACCGACTTGAATGTTTGTATACAATGTATGTAAACTGGCGGGCAAAGGAAAGTATACACTCGAAATTTGAACTGACCAAAAACCCGCGAAGATCCTGGTTAGAATAGGTCTTCAGCAACCCATGCTTGCCGTAAAAAGCGACTATGCTTGTCGTAAGAGGCGGCTAACGGGATCGTGTGGTCAGGCTCTCTGACTTGGTTGATGTATGTCATCGTATCCAAATTGCGTGGATCGATGCTCTTGATATTAATCACTGGATTGTCCGGTCCAGACTCGATTATTTACAGACCGGCGTCATATAGCTGGAATATTGCTGAGTGCGGCGTTAAACAACCAACCAACCAACCCAAAAATACAAACGTTATCAAAACGTTACTAGCCTGAAAAAGTTGCCGAAACACTTCAAACTTAAGGTCCACAACACAACCATCAAACATGGTGTACATACTTTCTGTTACACAGTAGTTCATGTCGATGCTATATAGCCGGTAGCACGCAGAAAAAAAATAACACAAAGAACGGAAAAAGTATATGTCCCTGAACTAAACGTATACCCTTTTTCAAATATAACCTTTCCACATAAATCATATTTCAGTGGTTACGAAGTGTACACAATAATTATCCATACTAAAGACCCTTACCTCAAAGGGTTACTCCCCCGGGAAAATTGCATTAAGGAAATCTCAAGCCACGACGCATATGATCTATAAGGGCCAAGACTACCATACAACAGTAATCCTCTTGAACACAAACCACACATAGACCTCGTTTAGCGCCCTGCATAAACACAGGATCAAAGTGATGTCATCGGCTAGTGTATTACCTGTGTCATAGGGTACAACTTCACCCACGATGTCTAACAAGAGGCAAGTACCCGCATCACTGAACAGTGAGATGAGGATGAAGGGTGCTTCGTTCATTCTATTAGAAGTGTCCACCATAATAACAAGTTTCGCTTGACGCCCGGGGTTAGATTCTGGGTGCAGAGTCGACGCACGGGCGTAATGCGACCAAATAGAGGTGCAATTTGGGCTTTGATGTTAATATGGTTACCTTTTGCGGGTGGGTTTTTTACGCTCTGTGCTTAGTTAAGCGATATCTTATTACTGACAATTTCTCATGGAAATTGTTCTCCTCTAGAATTCTTTTGAAAAGGGTAAGAGTGAAAGGATTCTTTAATAGGCATGACTGGTAAACTTGGTGTAGTTGTAAACACGCCTATGTAAATAGAATATTCATGCAGTGAGGTTATAATTGAAAAGCCCAAAGACTTCAT